GGGTGCTACCGACCATTTTTTGTTCTAACAAAATGAACACACTAATTGGAACACACACAATAACATCAAATGGCCATTATAATGCATAAATACAGACACATGCTGCCACTGTAATTGGCACCGACATCATTTGCATGCATAATGATAATTATAACACACACATATATATATACATAATATATGATTATATATATATGGTGGCTTCTATCGTACCTTGGGTAAAATGTAGGGTACGACATACCATGAGTAAGAAAATACTATCAAGACCTCGAATTAACCGAATTTTTGGGCATACTACTATACCCTAACCCTTAATGAGTGAACCCTAGTTCTTAGTTTTCTAAATCAAAGAGCATAATCCCTAAGATTGTGCTTGTAATTTGTTGCATATATTTTGACAAATCATAGCCGTTGATTTTTGTTTCTAATTAAATTGATCTTAGTGTATGAGATTTATAGAACTAAGACCTAGATTTTAATCCTTACGGGTTTGGGAATAATATCATACGCCAAGCTATGCTTAATTCAAGGTCTATACATCATTTTCTTACTCAATGTATGTCGTACCCTTGATTTTACCCAAGGTACGATAGAACCACCCATATATATACCATAAAGCCATCAAATGAATGCATGGAGCTAGGCAAAGTCGGCAAAATAGTGCTGGCATTTTGTGGGTAAAAAATATTTAACCACTGCCATTTATAAGAAAGAAAAGTAAGTTTGGTATATATATCATTCTCATGTGCATTAACAACCGAATGCATCTGGTGTGTGAATCATTGAATCTATGCATGATATATGTATGCATATAAAATGAATACACAGTGAGACATATATTTACACAAGCATGGTTATTGATAGAAGAGAGTCACGAATCCTTGTTCTTACATGATTAACTTATAATCCAAGTGGTTCGTTCTAGAACTGTTGAACACTTCTGCTTTCGGGAACCAACACTTAGAATGAATCAATTTAAATGGGTATTTATAAAATATCGGAATCTGTGTATCCGATGTACACCATTTGTATATATGATTGTCTGAAGACTAGAGAGAACAATGGGTTTACCCATTCAAATAATACCAACCAACACTTTGTTTCATGCCAAACATCCAATAAATACATGGATAATGATGACAAGGACACCAACGTTGCAGTTGCTTGCAAGGAGAAAAACGGATAGCAATGCATGTTGCAGTTATCAATTCAAATATATATGTTCACAATGACAAATTAAGTGAAAGCAAAGTCACCCCAAGCAACATTCAAATTGCGTGTATATATAGAATAAAGGCTTCATGCGACAAAACAATGGCATGTACACCAAGTCACGAACACAAGAACATCATGCAATCTAATGGTGACACGCCATCTGATTGTGTCGAACAGAATACGAAAACCATTATTAAATAAGAAAGTATACTGGATGGTTATGAGATACAATTTACATGCTTATACTTTGTCTCTTTGCATGACTTGAGATTGAATATCTAAATGTGTATATATATTTTTCAATGTTCGTATAAGGGTTTGAAATGGGACAGCTATATATATATACATGACCCTGGTCATGAGGATGTGACTCTTGTTGGAAATTTTGGAGAGTATCCAAATAATTCATGGAGGTCTTTGTAAAGGAAATCCTATGGATGATTGGTGCATCGCATTTCCTGGCTTTGAGAACACCATCCATGGATTCAGATCATAAACCCATGGACGAGGAGGAGGACTCCGATATTGAGTCCCTCTGATATATGTATATGTGTGTGTATATATACGGTGATAGTATATATGTATATGCCTATGTAAATTATATATTTACATAATGATAAGTAATGTAGTCATATTTCCTAAAATGTGATCGGCCACCAAGGTTTAATGCGTTCATCTCATTGGTCTAATTCATTTATGTGGAATGGATAAATGATAAGTGTGCCAATTTATTATTAATACATTTTTCATTCAAAGCGTTGCATGAGAGGATATACATACCTATACCTCGATATGCTAAAGTGTTCCAATAATTATGAATCAATCAAATCCAAGAATTTTTTGTGGATTGGAAGGTGGTTTGGATGGTGTTTAGTTATCCGGTAAGGGAATATGAACAATCATAAGTGTGCACCAATGACAAGAGGCTTGTGGGGACTTGTGGTCAAGCCTATCTAAGCCTAAATTGTTGCAAATGTGAATGCAAAGGTTATGTTCAAAGTAAATTGAACATAGTATGATAAAGTATACCTCCACTGGGGTGGAGATGAAATTTGGCTAAAGAATTGCATTACGAGAAAGCCATAAGCGATAAGAAATTATAATTTCTACGATGCTTGTGGAGGTATGATAATTTATTTAAAATGTATATGGTTTAGGACTTGATGTTTCCTATGCCTTGAGTGCAAGGAAAATGAAGCTATGATTGATCCATATAGAGATTTAATAAGCTTGCCAAATGATGGTCGTCATCAGGATAAGCATTAGGTCAGAATTGTTTATGGTATAAGTACACTATACCATTCGAAAACAATTTGACATACGATTATTGTGTAGCTAGGTGTCAGAATTGTTTATGGTATATATAGACATATACCATTAGCAAAGAATTTGGCATAAGAGCTCAATTGAGATGATCTTATTGAACTTAAAGTCTGGATTACTTATGGTATCTTTATGAGGTTTATACCATAAGAAAGTAATTAGACAATTGAATTAGAAATTTGTTTGAATTACTTGTGGTATATCATGTTACATAGATGAAATGTCATTGGTAAGTAATTAGATGAGATTTCCATTACTGGAATGCATAGGAATTACATATGACATCTCAAGTTGCCTTGATCAATATCATTAGTAAGTAATTAGATGATATTTCTAATAAAATCTGAATTGTTTGTGGTATAATAATCTAATTAGATCAACCATTGGTAAAGAATTAGATAAGTATAGTGGTTGTCAAGTTCAATAACTAAAACCGTGAAAAATAAATGAAATTATTCCATGATGTTTTGGCAAATGGCAGAATTGTGGGGGAGATTAGTTGTTGAATAAACTACTCTCTCAAAACCCTACAATGGGGCATAAACCTATCCATAAAAAATGTGGAAAGGTAAACGAAGTCATACTTGAAAGTATGAAGGTGCCCAATGAGAAAGTGAAAGTCCTTAAACCTTATGGAGTTAACCCGGTCCAAGGGTATAACTTATGAGTAAAACCAAGCCTATCTTGACATTAATGTAAGAGATCGAGCTAGTTTAAGAAAACCGAAGAAGATTTCTTAGATATGTCGATCCACTCTTCCCAAAGAGAAAATTATGTCAACCATTATATGCTAATATATGAACAACATTCCACTAACCGGAAACGTTTGTTTCAACAAATATGGCGAAATAGTTGAAATGTGGGGGATATATTGGGAAGAAGTGATGTGGAATGTCGCTTTGGTGATTCCAGTTGAAGTGATACTTAGGAGGTTTGTGTAAACCCTAAGCTAAGTTGTAAATGTCACTACATTGAAAGAGATACTTGTGCATTTCAAGTACTCTAAGGTTAATGAAGTGGAGAGACTTCAACACCATTGTCATGTGTTAAGATTATTGCTAGACAATAAAATCAAGGCAAACACACATGATGTGTAGTGAATCGAAAGAGACGAGTCTTTGGTGTATTATACCCACAGGAACTTACCAGATGAACCACAAGGTATAATCCATTGATGGATGTGGATTTAGGGTTGATGGGGAGCAGTACCTTGGAAAACATCCAAGTTGACTAAATATATACCCACTCTTAAGACCGGTGAAGTTTAATAGTCTGTCCCGTATAGAGTGGTGTTAATAAACGCACTTGTGCACAAAATGGTGATTGCAAGGGTTAGAAGTGTTATGTGAGAAATCTCGTCGTAGAAACATAACATTAGTGACTGGTTAATTTCTAGTGAAGTTATCAGAGATGATCACCTTAGATCAAATGATAACAAACATGAGGCCTACCTAGAAATTAATTATAGCATCGAAGGGAATGGACTCGTGGCATAGGACAAATCATCATGTCGATAACTTTACCTAAGTAGGATTGGTAGACCCAACCTCTAGGTTCAAGGAGCATACAAAGTTGTGAATGATGGTCTGCATTGTCAAATTATTCAATGTCCATTCTCATGATGAGACAATGTCCAAAATAAGGGTAAATCTAAATATGAAAGGTTTTTAATGGTTTCTAAGTTTGACACGTGGTGTGATCAAATAGTGTATTTTCGGAATACACGTTTAGAAATCACCAATGTGAGTGTGAAGTGGAGCTTCTTCAAGGAGAATAACAGAAGGCCAGTTCTCTAAGAACTCATGAGACTAGGCGTGGTTCATGGCTAAAACGAACACAAAAATGAGAACAGTGAACGGATAAGAGTTAGTTGTGTGACATATGTTGTCTTAGTATACAAGCAAAACCGACGGTTCAAAGATATCACATCTACCGATTGGTGAGTATGCTCGATATATGTTCACTAAGGAAGGTTCAAAGGGAAACCTACCTATCCCGATGCAACCAATTCTTAGTCGAGAATCAAACGATTTTTTGCATAGTTTTTAAAGTAAAACATTCTCCATTCATGTGGGGGATTGTTGGGTTTTTAGTGGTGTGAATGGAAATGAAAGGGGAAAGTTTCAAGAGAGTTTCTTGAAGTACCATGTTGGTAAGATGTGGGAAGGCACGACCTTGAATTCGATCGATTTGATATAATATGTGGTTAATTGGTGAAATTGGTTTGTGTACCAAACAGACCAAACCAAACCGAGTAGAACCAAATCAAACCGAACCGATATGGCCGTTGGAATAACCAAACCGGTCCAACTACCATAGGCCGAACCGATGCAATGGTTCATTATTTTAAAAACGAACCAATGTGTTGGTTGGGGGTGTAAACACCTATATGAAGAGTCGCCTCCCTTCGTATGCACCCCTTCATTTTCTATAAATAGCACCTAACCCCTTGGTTTTGACATGGTTTTTTTCCGGTACCAAAATTCTATCAAAATAAAAAAAAAGTATTCTGCATTGTTTTCAAAGAGAAAATGAGTCAAGTGTGGTTCTCGCTGGTTCGCTGCGTTCGATGGGTTCCGGGGAATAAAATTCTTTAAGGAGAGATAGTGAATTCTATCGGCTAGGACGCTTGCATATGTATTTGCATGATTTAATGATCTTATGTGTTTGCTTGTTGATAGACCGTTAGCTACACATGTTTTCACCCCTGTTCTTACACCGTTTGAGATGTGGTTTCTCGTGTTTTAGACCGATTTCACGCTAGGTTGTGCTTGTTTGTGATATTTCAGGTCCTGGCAAGTGAATGAAGGTTTAGGAGCGAGTTTGGGGTCGATTGGGCGAAGATCGGGCACGAGACAAGTCGCAAAGGAAGTCACACGGGCTACCCTGATGTTCACACGGCCGTGCAAGTGGCCAGTCTGGCCGTGTGACATTCTGCGAGAGCAGACACGGGCAAAGCAGAAGATCGACACGGCCGTGCAAGAGGCCAGTCTGGCCGTGTGGAATTCTGCGTGAGCAAACACGGGCAAAAAGGAAGTTCACACGGCCGTGCCACTCTGGCCGTGCAAAGAGCCTGGAATTCGAACTAATTGGAACGCAGCGTTTTGACTCACACGGGCAACTGGGTAAGCCACACGGCCGTGCCACCCTGGCCGTGTGAGTCGGGATTTTCTGCTTAAAACCCGATTTTCAGCCAAAGGAGAAGAGGAGAGCTGGGTTTTGGATCCCAAACACCCAAGGGACGAACCCTAGAGAGAGAGAGCGACTTGGGAACATTCTTGGAGCTATTTTGGAGGATTTCTTCGCCATTGGAGCTCGGGAATCAAGCTTGGAGATGGAGATTGAAGATCTAGATCAGATTTCTGCAGTCTCTCTCTTCTCTATGGAGTAACTTCCCTTCACTTAGGTTTTGAGGAACCCTAGTTCCATGAGTTAGGAGCTTGCTTGTATGAAGTTTTGGATGCTATGTTGTTTGATTATAATCGAATGATGCATGTTTATTGAGTCAATTGAAGTCTGATCAACTTTTCCTGATTCCTGCTGCAATCTGAGATAGATAGAATCTGATTAGGTTGCTAGAGTCTCATCATTCGGTAGTAGGAGATTGGCTATACGAGAGTTAGCCAGTTTACTGCTTTGTACTGGAATCCAATTCCAGTAGTGGAGTTCTGTGCTTATTGCTTCAGCTTTCTATCCCGGTGAAGACTAGTCGTCTGCCGGATAGTTAGACTGAGAGGGCTTGGTCAGCTTAAGAGATTCCAAGCTACTTTCGGATCTTCCGCAGTTTAATCAACAGTAAAACAACCAAAAGGAATTACAACTTGGACCTAATTGAGGAGCTAGGGGGAATCATACCTAAGTGAGTTCCCAAACTGTAATTAGTAGTTTTACTTAGTTGAGTTAGTAGAGTAGTTTAGTTAATCAACCCTTAATCTAGTTTGCTAGATAATGAACTGAATCTGAGTAATAGTAACTCTAGAGACCCGTGGATTCGATATTTATTACTTGTGCCACTATACTGCAGTCCCTTTCATTGGTTACACTTGGCCATTGTTAGGTGTTGTGTTTTAGAGCATCAAGTTTTTGGCGCCGTTGCCGGGGACTTTCTAGAGTATTAGGAAAGGCAGAAGTTTGTTACTTTAGCGTTTTTCTTTTCTTTTCTTTTCCACCCTTGCTTTTCACTTGGGTGTTTTTGTTTTTGTTGGTGCAGATCTGAATCATGGATCCTAATGGCTTCTCCAATCATTGGGGGTATCCACCACCATCCGGGTGGTATTACCCCGCGACTCCCTACAGCAATCAAGGAGGAGAAGACTATGGATTCGGGTTCCAGTACCAACCCCCTTACTACGGAGAACAATCAGACCCCTGGGCATATCAAGAACAACCTCATTACCAAGAAGACTTTCTCCCACAACCAGAAGGGCCATCGGAGCTGGAGTTACCCATGGCGGCCTTCACGGGCCACTCTGCAGAGCCATGCTACACTTCACTGGAGGATCCGAACGAACAATTAAGGCTTCTCGTGGAGCAGTTTGCTCGAGACACTGAGAAATCATGCTCCAAGATGGATCTTCAAATCAAAGCCCTTGCCACTTCCGATCCCTCATTTCTCCATGATATGGAGGAGACTGTTCAGCGCTCAGCGAAGCAAACAGAGTGGGTGAAGCAAGTTTGCTCACATCTTGCTCAAGATCACCTTTCTGCTACCACGCTAGAAGAGGTGGAGGATGACAAAGGCTATGGGAGCGTTGAGGAGCATACAGAAGTTATCACAGAGAACTCCCATGATAACCATGATCAGGAAAGTCCTTTGGTTGCAGACCACACCTTTCCTCATTTATGCTCTAACATGCTGGGCCCGTGCGAGGAGATGCAAGATGATCCCATTGAAGAAATTGCTTGGCGACTTGCTCTCCAATCTGTTCTAGAAGAAGAAGAGCGAGCAAGGATGAGGAAGAAAGTTGTGGATGATGAGGAAGAAAGAAAAGAAGAGGTGGTTCTTGATCTTTTCCCAGGGGAGAGACCACATTTTGAAGAAGGAAGGGGGGTTGAGGAAGCAATTGGCGTCCAGGCTGAGGATGAAGTTGAGGTGGAAGAGGCATGCACCGGCCATGAGTTGCAAGTAATATCCCCACCAAACTTTGAGGAACTGCTTAGCAAGGACCCATTTGCAGTGTCTCTTTGCCAGACCAAGGCCACATCAATATCGGTCCCTCTTGGTGGACGCGATGGTGGCCAATCGATGCTGTCATATCTGGTTTGGGGAAATGAGACAAGAGAAGAGAAGAAGAGGTCTCGAGGGTGGAGACTTCATCTGCATCAAGTACATGAGCCTTCATCACCTGCCACACCACATGCTCGTGACTTGAGACTCCACCTCATCGACGAGAACCTCAACTTCAAGGAGGTTCTAGCATGGACCGAAACTTAGGAGCCATCGTCCGGCTCACGACGTGAAAGAAGCGCTTGTTGGGAGGCAACCCAACCAGTCGGTTTGCATTTCTGTCTCTATTTCTCCTCGGTTGAGTCAGTTTGCTATTTGATTTTAGAGTCAATAACTTAACCTTTGTGAGATTTTGTGTGGTGTTTGTGTTCTGATTACTCTCTCTTTCTGGATGGCACCGCCTGACCCGTTCATCATCATTCACCCTTGATCTGGTAACTTCGTTCTACCCTCCTTATCTTTCCTCCATTGAGGACAATGTCGTGCTTAAGTGTGGGGGGATGTTCGATTATGTATGCGGGTGAATGTTTGGCTGTTTGTGTGCTTGGAGCCTAGTCCACTGTCCAAATTTTTAAATTTGAGGGCTCCAAGTACGTGTTTCCTTGCAATTGCCTGCTCAGTATGCTTTAAATTGACAGTCTTTATAGTAATATGCAACCTAGGGAGGTAGTGTAGCACTATGGAGGATGTTGATGCATTTAAGAAGTCTCATGTCTTCTTCATATTGAGTTGGTTGATTGAGTGAATTAGTGATCTTAGGACCCTTGAATTGTGTGGTGTTGTGGATTCTCTGCCTGTCATGGACTCTTGTATCATGTTTTGAAAATAACAGGTGATCAAAAATGTGCTTCAAAATAAACGTCTCCCGTGCGAATAGGGCGAAAGTGTGTAAGGGGAGACGGGAATTCGTTCCCAATTTCCACCTACTACCTCCAGCCCCCTTACATGTCTTTCCCCCGCACGAGGCTCGAGACATCCGCTCCTGGCATGGCCGGTAAGAGCAGGTTGGGACCCTTGAAAAAGAAAAAAAGAAAAGAAAAATAACAGAAAACAAGCAAAATAGAAAGAAAAGGGGTTCCAACCATCCTTAAGCAGAAAATAGAGCACCTTGAAAAATGTGAGTCCATGATCTTTTGTTTTTGAGAATCTCTTCATCCACAATTCATTTGTCCTTTGTTCACTGTTTGCCATGATGCCGACTCGATAAGAAGCTTTGAGATGACTTGTGCGTCGGTTGACCTCGTAAGCTGCTAAATGACCTAAGAAGTCCTCTACCTACGATCTAGGTTGTTTGTTGCTATAGAGGTCTAGAGAGTTGCATTGGTTTGAGTTAGGTTTGCTCGAGGACAAGCAAACGGTTAAGTGTGGGGGAGTTTGATAGACCGTTAGTTACACATGTTTTCACCCCTGTTCTTACACCGTTTGAGATGTGGTTTCTCGTGTTTTAGACCGATTTCACGCTAGGTTGTTCTTGTTTGTGATATTTCAGGTCCTGGCAAGTGAATGAAGGTTTAGGAGCGAGTTTGGGGTCGATTGGGCGAAGATCGGGCACGAGACAAGTCGCAAAGGAAGTCACACGGGCTACCCTGATGTTCACACGGCCGTGCAAGTGGCCAGTCTGGCCGTGTGACATTCTGCGAGAGCAGACATGGCAAAGCAGAAGATCGACACGGCCGTGCAAGAGGCCAGTCTGGCCGTGTGGAATTCTGCGTGAGCAAACACGGGCAAAAAGGAAGTTCACACGGCCGTGCCACTCTGGCCGTGCAAAGAGCCTGGAATTCGAACTAATTGGAACGCATCGTTTTGACTCACACGGGCAACTGGGTAAGCCACACGGCCGTGCCACCCTGGCCGTGTGAGTCGGGATTTTCTGCTTAAAACCCGATTTTCAGCCAAAGGAGAAGAGGAGAGCTGGGTTTTGGATCCCAAACACCCAAGGGACGAACCCTAGAGAGAGAGAGCGACTTGGGAACATTCTTGGAGCTATTTTGGAGGATTTCTTCGCCATTGGAGCTCGGGAATCAAGCTTGGAGATGGAGATTGAAGATCTAGATCAGATTTCTGCAGTCTCTCTCTTCTCTATGGAGTAACTTCCCTTCACTTAGGTTTTGAGGAACCCTAGTTCCATGAGTTAGGAGCTTGCTTGTATGAAGTTTTGGATGCTATGTTGTTTGATTATAATCGAATGATGCATGTTTATTGAGTCAATTGAAGTCTGATCAACTTTTCCTGATTCCTGCTGCAATCTGAGATAGATAGAATCTGATTAGGTTGCTAGAGTCTCATCATTCGGTAGTAGGAGATTGGCTATACGAGAGTTAGCCAGTTTACTGCTTTGTACTGGAATCCAATTCCAGTAGTGGAGTTCTGTGCTTATTGCTTCAGCTTTCTATCCCGGTGAAGACTAGTCGTCTGCCGGATAGTTAGACTGAGAGGGCTTGGTCAGCTTAAGAGATTCCAAGCTACTTTCGGATCTTCCGCAGTTTAATCAACAGTAAAACAACCAAAAGGAATTACAACTTGGACCTAATTGAGGAGCTAGGGGGAATCATACCTAAGTGAGTTCCCAAACTGTAATTAGTAGTTTTACTTAGTTGAGTTAGTAGAGTAGTTTAGTTAATCAACCCTTAATCTAGTTTGCTAGATAATGAACTGAATCTGAGTAATAGTAACTCTAGAGACCCGTGGATTCGATATTTATTACTTGTGCCACTATACTGCAGTCCCTTTCATTGGTTACACTTGGCCATTGTTAGGTGTTGTGTTTTAGAGCATCACTTGTGTTACAAGAAATATAGTATACGTGAACAATTTCCACAACAGACCTAAGTGTTGGTTGGTATTATTTGAATGGGTAAACACATTGTTCTCTCTGGTCTTCGGACAATCATATATATAAATGGTGTACATTGGATACACAGATCCGGATATTCTATAAATACCCACTTAAATTGATTCATTCTAAGTGTTGGTTACTGAAGGCAGAAGTGTTCGACAGTTCTAGAACGAACTACTTGGCTTCTAAGTTAATCATGTAAGTACAAGGATTCATGACTTTCTTCTGTCAATAATTAAGATTCTTTTTTGATAAGTATCAATAATTATCATTATGCATGCAAATGATGTCGGTGCCAATTACAGTGGCAACGTGTGTCCGTATTTATGCATTATAATGACCATTTGATGTTATTGTGTGTGTTCCAATTAGTGTGTTCATTTTGCTAGAACAAAAAATGGCCGGTAGCACCCCCGGAGTATGGAGTCCAACTCACGAGAAGAATGATGACGACGTCATAGAGGTCATCAATATCGAATAAGATCTGGAGATCGTTGACCTCTCTACTCCCGAAATGGAGTTTGACAATGACGAATGGTTCGATTTTTATGACGATAGCGGGGATTGGGTATATAATGACATTGTTGGAGAGCATCCAACCAATTATTGGACTCTAGATGAAATATCCATCTATGATTGGTACTCAATGGGTCCCAATGTGGACGATATTGGCACCCATGTGAACTCGATGGAGAATATGGGGGAAGAAGAGGAAGTTGAGGAATCGAAGAATGAGAAGGAGTCTTCCGACATAGAGACCGATGAATGTCACTCTGATCTTGACTTCGACCGCAAGAATCCTTAGGATTCTTGTATATGTATATTTATTCTTCTTTCAGGAGTAGACATATGTATGTGTGTATATATACATTTGGTATTAGTATGTGTATACCTATGTTAATCGTGTATTTACATGATGATGCACTTATGTAAATAGTATATTTACATATGTTCTTTTTCCTGAGTGGAAAATTGTTTGGATAAAGCCATTATGAGCTTGTTTGATTCTAAGATCAACCACCAATTTTAAATGCGTTTGTCGCATTGGTCCAATTCATTTATGTGGCACGAATGAATGATAATTGTGCCAAAGTGATACATGAGAGGATGGAAGACCTTATGCTAGCCCTTCATGGACTATAAGTAAAGGTGGTTTTTGGATAGTAGTAAACTATCTAGTGGGAAATATGAACAACCATAGGTGTGTAAAACCAACACATATATAATACTGAAAATTATATTTCGATGTATATATATATACTGAACATCACAACAAGTCCCCAATTTCTTTTGGCAGAAGGAAACCGAGTGTTCCAACTAAAACTTCATCATCAATTATAAATCAAATTACAGATGCATGCATGGAGACCGGGAGCAGTTCCCGTAAGTAACCTACCGGTGAGTAACGATTAGTAACCAGCCGATCCTCCGTCCATTGCAATCCATTGATGACCGTCATATGTGGAATATTAAATACACGTAGGTGTAAAATAGTAACTTGACAATCCTTCTGACAATTTGAAAAAGGAAAACGCGAGTCTTCCCCGCCATCATTATCACTACAAAAACAAAAACACCACAGACGGTTCGCGTTCTATCTCTGCTTTTTCGCTATGCATTTACGCTATCCATTCTCTCTCTCTCGTATTTCATTTTCGCAAACCGCATACTCGAATTTTCATAATGATAGCAAAGGATACTGATCTCAGTTCTTCAGCGATCAAGTGAGGGTTTCGAACTTCGACGTCTTCAGCAACAAAGTTAGGGATTCCAACTTCGATGCCTTCAGCGACAAAGTTAGGGTTTCCAACTTCGACGTCTTCAACGATCATGGTAAATCATCACTTCTTTCTTAAAAAACTAGATTCGTGATTCTGAATGTCTAATTTCAAGTACAGACTTCACATTTCACCACTAGATTTTTGTTCTTACACAACGTTAACCATACTGTTTTGAAGAGATGATAAAAAAAACCAAACAAAAAACTCTAATATGCTTTAATTTTTGGAAAAAATCCAAAACTACCACAGTTTAAAAAAAAATTACAAAAATACCACCCACTCCAAATAATTTCCAAAAATACCATCCTTTATTTAAAACCGCGCCTCTATGAAGCGGTTTTTACTAAAACCGCGCTTCCACGAAGCGTTTTAGATAATAACCGCGCCACGGAAAAGCGTTTTTAATTTCCAGAACAAAACGCTCTAGGAAGGAGCGGTTATAGGCTAACCCTACCACAAAACGCTTTAGGAAAGAGCGTTTAAGTGTCGGCATTACAAACCGCCTACCCAAAGGGCGGTTTATAGTGTCAGGACACAAACCGCTTCTCCAAGCGGCATTTTATAGTGTCAGGACACAAACCGCTGCCCCAAGGCGCGGTTTGTGCCTGGTCACCCGACAGCCGACATGTCCGACATGCAGGGGGTAGGGCACGTAGGGCTTCATGCCAAACCAAAACCGCTCCCCCCCCCAGCGGTTTTGGTGCAAAATTTGGCTATAAAAGGCGGTTTCAGAGAACTCAATTCTTCACACCTCCTCCTCTTCCTTCTTAAAATTTCAGATTTAAATTATTTAGTTTTTGCGATTAACGTTTATTCGTAAGTTTGTTTCGTAATTACTTTTCATTGTCCTTTGTGATTTTATGTTAGTAACTTAATTACTTTTCATTGTCCTTTGTGATTTTATGTTAGTAACTTAATTACTTTTCATTGTCATTTGTGAATTTATGTTAGTAACTTAATTACTCTTCATTGTCCTATGTGATTTTATGTTAGTAACTTAATTACTTTCCATTGTCATTTGTGATTTTATGTTAGTAACTTAATTACTTTTCATTGTCATTTGTGATTTTATGTTAGTAACTTAATTACTTTTCATTGTCATTTGTGAATTTATGTTAGTAACTTAATTACTCTTCTTTGTCATTTGTGATTTTATGTTAATAACTTAATTACTTTCCATTGTCATTTGTGATTTTATGTTAGTAACTTAATTACTTTTCATTGTCATTTGTGAATTTATGTTAGTAACTTAATTACTCTTCATTGTCATTTGTGATTTTATGTTAGTAACTTAATTACTTTCCATTGTCATTTGTGATTTTATGTTAGTAACTTAATTACTTTTCATTGCAGATGGCATTCCAAAGGTTCACGCTTGGGTTACGGTGGAATGGTTACACGGAAGAGACCGAAAAGGGTGTAAGTTACGTCGGTGGCAATTTTTATAAAATGAAGGTCCGTACGAGACCGATGCTTGAAGAGCTCCATCAAATGCCCACTCAGATTACCTGCATGGATGGCACTAGAAGAGTTGATCGAATGGTGTATCGATATCCAAACAGACATGACGGGTCGCTGTGGCATGAGGAATTCCTCCTTACCACTCAGGAGGACGTTGATGCCATGGTCCAATTTTTGACCACCAATAAAATTAAGCAAGCGCAGATGTTCGTTTACACCGAGGTCGTCGAAGGCAGTGTAGGTCATTCTGGAGATGGCCAAACATCTGGTATCCACGGTGGGAGTGTATTATACGAAGATCATCCCCACCAGGATTTCCATGAGTCGAGCTGGAGGCAGGAGTATCATCATGGTACTGGAGGAAGTCATCAATCCTTCCCTTCATATGAAGAAGAAGCTCAACAGGCGGATTACAACCAACAAGCAGGCTACCAGTACCCACCCGACTACAACTTCTATCAAAGCGGTGTTAGTTACCACAACTACCATTATGAAGCTAGTGAAGGTGAAGGTGCCTTTCATGCTGGTAGTCAGATGGAAGAAGAGGTCAATCCAAGTCCAGTTAGTGACCCTGAGGATGAAGAAGAGGAAGGAAAAGTTAGTGCAGACAGCGACGATCCGTTGGAGGGTGCTGATGATTCCGGCCCAGATTCAGACGCAGATGGTGATGAGGTAGCTCACGACCGTGTACCTATTCCATACTACAATCACATCCAAAGTGAAGATTGGTATGTTGATGCCGACATGGACCCGCCAAATGTGCCAGTATGGGGACTACTAACTGGCTTTACGAAGGGCCAACAATTTGCAACGAAGAATGAGGTCCGACACGCTATTTCCACTGAAGCAATGACTCGGAGTTTTGAATGGCAAACAACCCATTCCGACACAAAGAGGCTGCTGGTTCGATGCAGAAATGAAAATGAGGGATGCAAAGCTAGGGTTCGGGCTATCAAGAGCAAGAGAGTCGGCCATTGGGTCATATCCCGTGCGGTGAACACACACACATGTGTGTCATCAATAACATCCCAAGGCCATCGACAGTTGAAATCAAGGGTGGTTGCCGCGGCTATCAAACATCTAATTGAGGAGCAGCCCGACCTGAAGGTCAAAACCATCATCGCCCACATTTCTAGTCGTTATGGTTATATCATTAACTACCAGAAAGCATGGCATGGGAAACAGAAAGCAATGGCTGCCGTGTTTGGTGACTGGGAAGAATCATATGCATTCCTTCCCAAATTGATTTTGGCGTTGGAGGTTTCTAACCCTGGCACCATTTTCTCGCCTCGCTACCAAGATGAAGAAATTCAATCGCCGGCGCCTGGTAACAATCGCCAATTCAAGCGTCTTTTCTGGGCCTTCAAGCCATGTATTGATGGTTTTTCATACTGTGTTCCTGTGATTCAAGTTGATGGAACATTCCTTACCGGCAAGTATAAGGGTACTCTACAGATTGCCAGCGGAGCAGATGCAAATAGATTAGTATATCCATTAGCCTTTGCCATTGTGGAGGGAGAGAATACTGATAGCTATGGCTGGTTCTTCAGACAAATTCAGCTCCATGTCACTAGGCGGACGAACCTGACTATCATCTCAGATCGCCACGCCGGAATACGGGCTGCTATCTTAGGCTTGGATCCAGCCTGGAACTGGTCACAGAGATGGTGCATACGGCATTTCAAGAGCAACTGGAACCATCATTTCAAGCGAAAGAAGCTTGCTGACAGTATATGGTGGATCGGTAAGCGTTCTAATTAATTGTGTATCTGTACATTTTTTCATTTGTATAAAAGTATGGAATGTTTCAACACTTATTGAGACTCTGTTATAAAGAAATGCATGTCTAAGGAAATGGGGACTTAAGCGATCATCATGATCCCCCCATGACCTGGGAAAATCGGGTTCTAAGCGATCCTCGGATCCCCCCTTTTTCTGTCAAAAAGACTGTGTTTCTAAGGAGATGTATACCTCTCCTCAGAGTCTTACGAGTGTACTTGTATTGCTTTAAATAAGGTCGATCTTGCTTATCTGATTTTTTTTTTATATTCAACAGCTGTCGCGTACCAAGAGAAGAAATTTAAAGAGAAGATGCAGAATATCCGTCAAATATGCCCTGAAGGTGCGCAGTGGCTTGATCAACATGACCTTGAAATGTGGACTTTTCATAAGGACGGAGGTCACAGATGGGGTATTGCCACAACAAACTCAAGCGAGAGTATCAACAACGTCTACAAGGAATGTCGTGCACTCCCCATCTCTGCAATTGTTGAAATGACATTCTGGAAAACAAACAGATGGTTCGTCAACCGTCTCCACTGGTCTGAGAATAGGGAGGCACAGGGTAAGGTACACTCCGATTATGTCATGAAAATAATGGAAAAAGATAATCGGAAGAGCTCTCGTCACACCGTCACTGTGATGAACCGACATGCTGGCGAGTTTTCGGTCGAGACTGGGCACTGGGAGGATGGGAGACGTGGGGGTCATCGCCATGAAGTATCCATCAACTTTAGGACTAAAAAGGGGGAGTGCTCTTGTCAGAAGTATCAGGGTAGAGGGATACCATGTTCCCATGCAATGGCTGCAATAAAGCACAGGAGCAAAGACCCTCGTCATTTCGTCAGTCCGTTCTTTAACATTGACTCACAAAAGAGCAGTTATCGTACTAGTTTCCGTGCATTGCCGGATGAAGCTTACTGGCCAGTTTATGAGGGTATGGTCATCATTCCACCAATCGGTCTTAGGCGGGTAACAGGGCGCCCACGGGTTAAAAGGATTCCAAATGAAATGGATCAAACTGGAAGACCACCGCGGGGGCCAAGGCGGTGTTCCATATTTAAAGTACCCGGTCATGATAAACGAAAATGTCCCGGACCAATTGGTCCTCAAAATGCAGGGCCCGATGTGGTGAACCCGG